AGGAATAAGAGAGATCTTGGAGACGTGTTATACAAGGAAATAAGATATGGTAGATCTCTTTCCTGAAAAAGTTTAATTTTTACTGATTTTATGCTTTCTTTTTTAGTGTAAGACTTGAATTTCCAAAAATTATTTTATTGTGAATGATAAATTAATTTTAAGTTGGGGATGCGAGAAAAAATAATTTTTTGTAGTTCAATATTAAGATTAAGTAATTTAAAAGTTAGTTAGAACAAGTTTGGGTGACCGAGCGCTCCAGGTGCATGTGTGGAATGAGCTTGTCGCAATTCTTATGATGCCTTGCGCGCATGGACTCACGGGCGTGATGTTTTATAATCTGGGCGTGGAAGGTCGTCACGGTCATGACAAACACGAGACCTGGACGCACATGCTAATGTAGAAAGATTGGCAACTTGGTTTGGGTGCACTTTTTGTGAACGAGCACATCTCGAAATATAGGCACTTGAGTCCTTTGGTAATGTTTTCTTACATCTACAAGTATCCAATGATTGCCATTTCTAATTGAATTCATAAGATTTTGTTGTCTTATTTTTACAAAGGACATACTCCATATTGTGTTATCTTGTGTTCTTGATGTCTCTTGAGCTCCAAAGAAAATGTAGTGCTTTCTTAAATTTTTGTATTCGTATTACCATTATGCAAAAGTTAAATTCACAAAAGATAAATTCATTGTACCTTGGAGGCATTAGCGTAAAGCATCATGTAATTTTATGGGGCTATTTTGTCTTTAAGGATAGTGTATATTTACATGCATCGACTTTGTTTATTTTGTTCGTTTTTCCTTCTATTTTTTTAGCCATTTTTCCGGATATTCGCAAAACAAGAAGTAATCATCTTCACATAAATATTTTGGGAGTCAAAAGATGGAAACTGAAGGAAATCAAAGTGCAAATCCGAATGTTTCAACAATCATTACACTAAGTGTTGTGCGGCATACAATATGTTCACTCTAATGGAAGTCACTCCATACAAGGATAAAATGCCAAACTTATAGATGTTGATTTTAAAAGGTAGCAACAAAATATGTTATACTTCACAATTCCCTCTCTCCCCCTCTCAATTTATTTGAAGGACCTTTTGATGGTATCTAAAAATGAGATCGGAGTTTAATACTGTGTGGCCTTGGATGCGTGGGGCCATAGTGACTTCTTATATAGAAATTGTGTACTTAAAAAACATAAGAGCAATCTTAACGGTGATCCAACCTTGAGAATTGGAGATCAGTGAACTTTACTTAACTTAATAGAAAATTAAGTTTCAAAAATTCATTGAAACACTTGAAAAGTTCCGCACATTTCTGAGCACAACCAATGTTAAATTTTTCTAAATAATGAGGTTAAGACAAAGTCTTTTAATGAATCCTACACCGAAGGGTGAAGTAAGACATAATACTTTTCATTATAGAATCACTTTTGTAAGTGATAAGTATTTATACCGCTTCAATCTAATACTTAGTAAACTGATATATAGTTCAAGATCAAAATAGACAAAAAATGACTACAAGAAAATGTTACACTTGTTGTGTGAATATTGCTATCTTGGCTCACACAAACAACCGATAAGTTTAGAGCATTTCTCTACTAACCGATCAATGTACCTGATGGTATATCACTCTGTATAGAAGATTTAAGACTAGAAGCTATCTATCATGATGCAATAACAGTTTGTCGAGACTCATGTATTGCATACATACATTAATTTCATTCAAGTGAGTGGTTGTAAGAAAAGTTAGTATTGTACTGATTTTACGATTCAATTTTTCTTTTATAAATAGACTAAGAAATTCTTAAATTATTTTAGGGTGAATGATAAATTATTGTACATGAGGAAAAATATGAATTTGCATAGCTCAAAAGTTGATTAAAATCGAAAAAAAAAACATAGGTGAGCGAGTGCTACCGCCCGCCTGCAGGCACTGAGTCTGTCGTGACCAGCAACGCTCGGGCTCAACGTGGTCAATGACTGCCTGCACGACCCAACCCGCGGGCAAAATGTTTGATGGTTTGTTGAGCATGCATCGCCTGTGGCCTAGACGCACTTGCTAGCGTAGAAAGGTTAGTAGCTAGGTTTGGGTGCATTTTTTCAATTAGACTCGAAATATTTTGCATTTATATAGAATGAATGAAGTGTGAGAAAGGTAAAAAATAAATAAATGTATTTGAGATAAAGTTGATTTACCCTTCTAGTATGTATGGCGAACATCTTAATTAGTGTGCATTATTGGCTATAATTATTGTTAAATCCAAAATTTGAAGTAAAATGAAACATGATTGTATAAATTATTTGATTATTTTCTTTAAAAGAAAGATATGAAGAATGGTTAGTAACGAGTCACTTCTTGATAAGTTTCGTGAGACAATATGTATAGCACAATTTTAGCGGTACAATTAAGGGTGTTCATCGGTCGGTTCGGTCGACCGACCAAACCGAACAACGAAAACCGAATTAACCGAAATGCTATAAGTAAAAAATTGAACCGACCGAAATGTATGCATAAAACCGAAAATTAACCGAACCGAATTATTCGGTCGGTTAACCGAAATTTTAGAAAAAAAATAATTTTTTAAAGATTGTTTATTGGGCCCAAATATAGGGGAGGGAGACCGACGGGACGACTTGGGGTAGGGAGACTGACGGGCGATTTTGGGGAAGGGAGAGAACGACGGCGATTTGAAAGTCTGTGTGTGTAGTGAAGTGAAGAGTGAAGACGGGCAATTTTGGTAAATGGTGGACTGGTGGTATGTTTAGAAATTAGGGTACTGAAATATTATATTATAATTTATAATATATAATATAATAATAAATATTAATATATTTATATATATTTGGTCGGTTCGGTTATTTCGGACATTTGAAGTCCGAAACCGAAATCGACCGAATTAACCGATCAGTTAAGGGCTGAAAACCGAAACCCGACCGAGTCGGATAAAAACCGAACCGAAATTTTCAGTTCAGTCGGTTCGGTCGGTTTTAGTCAAATTTTGCACACCCCTAGGTACAATAGGTTGAAAGATGTGTATTTTATGGTTTAATTCTATTTATTTACTTATTTCTCTATTATGTAATGCAACTTTATGTCTTTTTTGTTAAATGTGTGACATAATCGAGAATATACAGCCTGCTTCTGAAATAAAATTTTTAGATCTGTCCCTCTTAAATCTGACTTGTATATGTTGTTGGGTTTTGTGTCTGGGCGGTGATGTAATCCACCTTGGTAATCTTCTTGTTCATTTTGTGGGATGGACAATGTCGATCCGATGAATGTGTCTTCCAACTCTATTTGTGTGCTCAAATTTTGGCACCAATCTTCTTTGCTCTACGAGACTTTTGGCGCTGAGCCAATAATTGCATTCTCTGACTCGACTCTATCTACTTAGTGATGGAGACGAAGTCGCGTTGGCGTTTTTGCAGCGTTATGACCGTTTGCGTGTTTAGTATATTTATTTTATCGTTTATTTCATTCATCTTGGACTATTCCTATTTAGTATTAGCAGTTATGTCGTTTTTATTAAGTATGTGGTGGTTTATTTAATTAGTAGGTTTTATGGTGTAGGAAGTGGAGTTAGTGGGGAGTTTTATTATTTATGTATGAGACAAACAGAGAAAACATCATTCACGATTGAAAGAATAAGAAATTTGTTGTCTTTGAGTTCGTACTTTTTTCTTTCGATTACATCCTCTACATCACTTAGTCTACTTTCTCTTGATCGGACTAGTCGTATATTCTTCGTGCCACGTCAAACCGACTATCACCTAACACAATAATCCTCAATTTACATGAATTCATTGGTGATTGGATTGGTTTTAAGTCACGTAGAACTAATAAATCATGGATATATAGAAGCGAAAAAGGGGCCGGGGCCAGAGTGTATAATAATGGTAATTAATCTTAATTATTATTCTTTAGATCATGAATGAAGACAATGGTTGTAATTATGAAGTAATGAGGCAATGGAATCTCCATTAACAAATGGACAGTTCCATCCATTCTTAATCACACGTACGCGCAAAACCTAGCTAGAGAGAGACAAACAGATTGTTGTAATAAAAACATTGAAAAATCCACCACCCCTTCCAAAAGCCATTACACCTAGAGAGAGAAAACCTTTTTCTTGATGTTTGTTTCATTATTTCATTCTCATAGTAACGACAAAACTTGCATCATAAATGATAGATAAATCTTGCAACTTTATTAAGGAGGAGGTGAATGAAAAATATTATTACAAGAATCTCTAGTCAAAAGGCAAAAAGAAAAATAATAAATCAAACTAGGTTCATTCAATTTTAGATGTGTGTTAATCCCACCGAAAAAATCCACTTCAATAATATAATGAAATGAACCCTCAAACTATTGTTGTGAATCTTGAATGTGATAACGGTTAAAGTGTTGTAACCAGTTGGTTAACGATTGTAATCTTTGAGTNATGTGAGTTATATGAATAACTTTTGTAATGGTCAACTCCTCAACATGAATGAGATATGAAGAGCACAACACACAAATTAGATCACAAATGAAAATATCTACAATATCCCTTCAAGACCTATACTATACATATAGAGAGAGAAAAGAAGAAAGAGATTGGAAGAGGTGCAGAAAATTGAGAAAAATATATACTGTATAATATGTGCTACATCCCATGTGCACAGCTGTTTTCTCTCCCAGGCCAAAACCCCATCAAGAAATTATAATACCACCACCAATAATTCCACAGTATATATATATCCACCTTAGCTTCATCTCTCTAGATTTTGACTCCCTAAAAATTTTCACCCCTTTCTCTCTCCTCAAAAACAAACAAAACACAACTTGCTGTGTATTTTCTCACTCTACCCCCTCTCTCATTCTCTCTCAAAACATGGAAGAAGCCTAGCCGTGGAAAAGGAAAATAAAAACCCAAATCAGCCGTGAAAAAGAAAAATAAAAACCAAAATCCGCCGTGAAAGTAATCGGAAAATAAAAATCCAATCTTTAATCGAAGATGAAATCCGACAGCCATCTCTTCCACTACCCCTTATACTCCCTCAAAGCACTAGCCCTCTTTCTCATACTCTCTCTCTCCTCCTCCTCCGCCACCGCCGCCAACAATGGCGCCGCCGGCCTTCTCTCCGGGGACTCCCATCAGCTCATCTCCTTCAAGAACTCGCTCCCCAACCCCGGCGAGCTCCAGTCGTGGCAGCCCGCCGTCTCCCCCTGCGATTTCCGCGGCGTCCGCTGTAAAAACTGGAGGGTCTCCTCCGTCGACCTCTCCGACCACCGCCTCGACACCGATTTAGCCACGGTGGCCGGATTTCTGTTCCCGCTGCAAAACCTGGAGTCCCTCGTGCTGAAAAACGCTAACATAACCGGCCCAATCTCCTCCGTCGCGAGATTTTCGTGCAGCCGACGCCTCAACTGGTTAGATCTGTCCGGAAACGCGGTCTCCGGCCATATCGCTGAAATTCCGGCCATCGGGATTTGCTCCGGCTTGATTACTCTCAATCTCTCAAGAAACTCCGTGGACCCCAACAGGGCCAGGGCAGCCGCCGCCGCCGTGCCCTCCTCTTCCGTACAAAATCTCGATCTTTCGTACAACAACATCTCCGGAGAGGACGCCGTCGCTTGGATTCTTTCCGGCGGGGCCTTCCCCGAGCTCCACCACCTGTCTCTGAAAGGGAACAGAGTCTCCGGGGCCTTCCCGGAGTTCAACTTCAAGAACTTGGCCCATTTGGATCTCTCTACCAACAACATCTCCGCCCCTTTCCCGGCGTTCACCGACTGCTCCGCCCTGCAGCACCTCGACCTGTCCTCCAACAAGTTCACCGGTGGAGTGGGAAACTCACTCGCCGGATGCGGTGAGCTGACCTTCCTCAACCTCACCAGCAACCGCCTCACGGGCCCTGCTCCGACTCTCCCGGCCGCCTCCTCCGGTCTCCGGTTCCTATACCTCCAGGAGAACGACTTCCAGGGCGTCCTGCCGGAAATCCTGCCGGAGACCCTCGTCGAGCTGGATCTGTCCTTCAACAACTTCACAGGTAATTTACCCCAAAGCCTTGCCTCTTGTTCTGCTCTGGAGCTTCTCGATTTGTCAGCCAATAATTTCTCCGGCGAGCTTCCGGTGGATATTTTCTTGAAGTTAACCAATCTGAGGTTTCTACTCCTATCTTCCAACAATTTCATCGGCAACTTTCCGGAATCTTTCTCAAAGCTCACATCTTTAGAAACTTTAGACGTGAGCTCCAACAATATCTCCGGCTCAATCCCGGCCAATCTCTGCCGGGAGCCCGGCAACAGCCTACGCTTACTCTACCTTCAGAACAACATCCTCACCGGCCCAATTCCCAACACCCTCAGCAACTGCACTCACCTCGAGTCTCTCGATCTCAGCTTTAACTACCTAAAAGGCGTTATCCCGTCTACCTTGGGCTCGTTAACCAAGCTTCGCGACATCATAATGTGGCTAAACGAACTGCACGGCGAAATCCCGAACGAGTTAATGCATTTACAAAGCTTAGAAAATCTGATTCTCGATTTCAACGACTTGTCTGGCTCAATACCGGCCTCCCTCAGCAACTGCACCAATCTCAACTGGATTTCCTTGTCAAACAATCGGTTAACCGGCGAAATACCTTCTTCTTTAGGAAATTTGGCCAATCTTGCTATCCTAAAGCTCGGTAACAACTCACTGACAGGAAAAGTCCCAACCGAGCTCGGTGACTGCCGTAGTCTACTCTGGTTAGACCTCAACACGAATTTCTTGAATGGCACAATCCCGGCTGGCCTTTTCAAACAATCGGGTAATATAGCAGCTGCTGTTTTAACCGGCAAGAGTTACGTTTACATCAAGAATGACGGGAGCAAACAGTGCCACGGGGCAGGGAATCTACTCGAGTTCGGTGGAATCCGGCAAGAACAGCTGAATCGAATCTCCACTCGCCACCCGTGCAACTTCACTCGAGTCTACCGTGGAATCACTCAACCGACATTCAACCATAACGGGTCGATGATCTTTCTCGACCTCTCGCATAATAATTTGGAGGGAAATATCCCGAAAGAGCTCGGGTCGATGTTCTATTTGTCGATACTCAACATGGGCCACAACGGGCTATCGGGCCCAATCCCAGAAGAGCTAGGAGGCTTAAAGAATGTCGCGATTCTTGATTTGTCGTACAATCGGTTAAACGGAACTATCCCGAATTCGTTGAAAAGCCTTACTTTACTCGGAGAAATCGATTTGTCGAACAACGAGCTTTCCGGGATGATCCCCGAGTCGAACCCGTTCGACACATTCCCCGATTATCGATTCGCGAATAATTCGGGCCTTTGCGGTTACCCGCTTCCTTCGTGCGCGTTGAATTCGGGCTTTCCGGTCAAACATTCTCGCCGGAGACAAGCTTCCCTTGCCGGAAGTGTAGCGATGGGACTTCTCTTTTCGCTCTTCTGCATATTCGGGCTGATATTAGTCGCGATCGAGACCCGTAAGCGACGGAGAAAAAAGGAAGCCGCGCTCGAGGCCTACATGGAGAGCCATTCGGGCCCAACGACAAACGGGGGACCGCAAAGCGGATGGAAAATGAGCGCGCGCGAAGCCCTCAGCATAAACCTCGCCACGTTTGAGAAGCCCCTCCGAAAACTCACGTTCGCCGACCTTGTAGAAGCTACTCATGGCTTCCACGAGAAAAGCCTCATTGGGTCGGGAGGATTCGGTGACGTATACAAAGCGCAACTCAAAGACGGGAGCGTAGTCGCGATCAAGAAACTAATCCATGTCAGCGGGCAAGGGGATCGGGAATTCACGGCCGAGATGGAGACGATCGGGAAAATCAAGCATCGGAATTTAGTCCCGTTGCTCGGTTATTGTAAAGTCGGGGAAGAGCGTTTGCTCGTTTACGAGTACATGAAGTACGGGAGCTTAGAAGATGTTCTGCACGACCGGAAAAAAGTCGGGCTCAAATTAAATTGGGCCGCGAGGCGAAAAATCGCAATTGGGGCAGCTCGAGGTTTGGCTTTCCTTCACCATAATTGTATCCCTCATATAATTCATCGTGACATGAAATCGAGCAATGTGTTGCTCGACGAGAATCTTGAAGCGAGAGTCTCGGATTTTGGAATGGCTCGACTTATGAGTGCTATGGACACGCATTTGAGTGTGAGTACGTTAGCGGGAACTCCCGGTTATGTGCCTCCGGAGTATTATCAGAGCTTTAGGTGTTCGACTAAAGGGGATGTTTATAGTTATGGGGTTGTTTTGCTCGAGTTGTTGACCGGGAGGAGACCGACGGACTCGGTGGATTTTGGGGAGAATAATAATTTGGTGGGGTGGGTTAAGCAGCACGCGAGGGGTAGGGTGAGTGACGTTTTTGACCCTGAGTTGATGAGGGAGGATTCGGGTTTGGAGATGGAGTTGTTGCAGCATTTGAAAGTGGCGTGCGCGTGTTTGGACGATCGGGCTTGGAAGAGGCCCACGATGATTCAAGTGATGGCCATGTTTAAGGAGATTCAAGCGGGCCAGCCCGGGATTGATTCGGGCTCGTCGATGATGATTGATGTTGTTGAGGGTGGTGCGGGAGGAGTGGAGATGAGTATAAAGGAAGGGAATGAGTTGAGTAAGCATTTGTGAAGGGAGTTAGGAGGAGGAAAATGAGATTTGAATAAGGGAAGGAAAAAAGGTGGGATCTTTGAGGAAAAATTTTCCAAATAAAAAGATTGTTGTTGTTGTTGTTCCTTTCGGGTAAATTGGTTTTAGGAAAAAAAATGTTGTATTTAGAGTGAGTGAGTAGAGGTAGGCTAGTAGTAGCCATTTTTCTCCTTGAAGGGGAGGAAAAAGAAAAATGAAAAAAGGGAAAATGCCCAAGAATGAGAGAATCTTGTCTTGTTTATGTTTATTATAGATATAAAAGAGGTTTTG